ACAAAAGGATATGTAAACATTGATACATTAAAAACTGGTTGAACTTGAAAGTTTCATCCTTGACTGATGAAGTCTTTCGGACCGAAGACGAAACATTTCAGCACAAAAAAAAAAACTGTCCAGATGACCTGACTGAAAAATGCTGGATTGTATACCTGGATTATTGAGCATGGACTTTGTTGTTTATACTTTTTTTTTTTCTTGAACTTTTTTGAATTTACCATGTCCTGGATGACAGAGAATCTTCACCAGCTATTAATGACTCAATCGGCCTGCCAGTCTCCCCACCTTCATTCTGCTCACTGTTTGGACCGACAGTCAAACCAGCTGCATTGCCCCAGCGAAATGTAGCTAATTTGAGCATTAAAGTGCATTTTTTAAGCAAACATTATACTGAGACACACTTTTGCTATCATTTCGAGCAACCAAATAATTTCGAAGAAACAAGAAACAAGCTGCGTTCCTCCTTCCTGATTTCCTCCCTCTGCATGCTCCAGGACCACCAAAGCAACAAAAGTATTTTTGAAATTCAGCTGATTTTACCATTAAAGTGCATTTATTAAGCAAACGTTAGACTGAGACACACATTCACTACAATTTCAAACAAACAAATAATTGTTTTTTGCGTTTACTGCGTTTACTGCGTTTACTGCGTTTACTGCGTTACTACGTTGCGTTTCCTACCCACAATTGGACCCTCTGTTCTTACTATTATAAATATTAATAATATATAATATTAATATTAATAGTAAATGTTGTGACAAGTGTGGTTCCCTATGTTTTCAAACATGCAGTAGTTCATCCGTTAGTTAAGAAACCTGGACTTGACCCTTCGACTTGCTCAAATTTCAGACCAATCTCAAAACTTCCCTTCCTGTCCAAAATCCTGGAGAAAATAGTTTTCATTCAATTAAACAAGTTTTTGAATGAGAACAGAATCTTTGAAATTTTTCAATCTGTTTTTTTTTTTATCAACTCCACAGCACTGAAACAGCATTAGTAAGGGTTTGTAACGACATTATGATATCAAACAATTCAGGTCAATTTGTGGTACTTGTGCTCCTGGACCTTACTGCTGCTTTTGATACTGTTGACCACAGTATTCTTATATCACAGCTGGAACAGTGGGTTGCGATCACAGGTGCTGCATTAGAATGGGTCCACTCATACCTGAGTGGCAGGAGTTTCTGTGTCAAGGTTGGGAATAATATATCCGCCTCATTACCTTTTCTTGTGGGGTCCCACAGGGTTCGATTCTTGGACCCCTTCTGTTCTCACTTTATTTGCTCCCACTGGGGTCCATCCTGAGGAAACATGGTCTTTCATTCCATTGCTATGCTGATGACTGCCAGATCTACCTGCCTGTGAAACCAGCAAGCGTTTGCTCCATTCACCCTCTGTTAAAATGTCTGGATGACATTAAGGCCTGGATGGCTTCAAATTTCTTAAGTTTTAACAATGACAAGACTGAAGTCATTGTTTTTAGCCCTAGCTCAACTGACACCACTGATCCTGTCAATCTGGACTCTCTTCAGCCATATCTGAAGCAGTCTGGTAAAAATCTAGGGATGGTTTTAGACTCTGACAAAGTTTGACAAACAAATCAACTCTGTTCTGCAGAAAAGCTTCTTCCAACTCAGACAGGTAGGTAAGCTCAAGCCAGTATTGTCCAGACCCGACCTTGAGAAACTAGTCCACGCCTTTGTCACGACCCGATTGGACTATTGCAACACACTGTATGCTGGGATCAGCCAGGCCTCCATCTCACGTCTTCAGCTCGTCCAGAATGCTGCTGCTCAGCTTTTAACCGGAACTCGTAGGTCTGAACATATTACACCAGTTCTGTCCTCCCTTCACTGGCTCCCTGTTTGTGCGAGGATAGTTTTTAAAATTCTTCTGTTGACCTTCAAATGCCTAAATGGCCTCACACCCCTTTACCTCTCTGAGCTTCTGGAACCTTGCGTTCCCTTTCGGGCCCTGAGATCATCCGATCAGCTGCTTTTGGCTGTTCCAAAAACAAGACTGAAGCTCAGAGGAGATCAGGCTTTTTCAGTCATGGGCCCCAAACTCTGGAACAACCTGCCCCCCAACATCAGGCAGGACACCTCCATTCCTCACTTCAAATCCCTGCTTAAAACATATCTGTTCTCTCAGGCATTTCATACAGTGTAAATTGATCTAGTGTTTTTTAATCTGTGACCCTATGTTTTAAATGCTTTGTATTAATTCTTCAGTTATTATTATTAGTGTATTGAATATATATGTATTTATATATATATTTTCTCTTTAATTTACTCATTGATTGTTGTTGTTGTTAAGCACTTTGATAACAGGTTCTGTTTTAAATGTGATCTATAAATAAAGTTGACTTGACTTAAATTTGCACAGCGACTCGTCAAGTGCACGCATTTACTTCTGCATATCGGGTTTTGAAATACAGCTGATTTGACCGTCAAAGCGCATTTATTAAGCAAACGATAGACTGAGATACACATTTAGTATAACTTCGAGCAAACACATAATTGTTTTTAAGTGTTAATCTTGTTAAATTCTTGTTAAAGTCCTCCTGTACATGCTCCCGCAGCTACCATCTCTTACCTCTATTTCTATATATATATATATATATATATATATATATATATATATATATATATAACTTCTAGCTCAACTCTACTCTTCCACTTGATTGGTTCCACTTTACTTCAAAAAAGTCCTCTATCAGAGGCCTGGACTGAGGATTCTGTTCAGTATCTTTGTTTTTCATAGGACTGAACTCTTCTGAACAGAAATCTCCGATATTGTTCCTGGGATCTGTTTGAGCTCTTCTTTCTTTCTCTCTCTCTCTCTCTCTCTCTCTCTCTCTCTCTCTCTCTCTCTCTGGAGCTCTTCTTTCAGTTCGGAAGTCACATCATTGAGTGCTCCAATGATCACTGGGGCTACTGATGCTTAGACTTGCCACAATTTCTGTATTTTTTCCAACTCTTGGTATTTCTCCAGCTGTTTCTTTTTCCTTTTGTTACAGTCACTTGGGGTTGCTACATCTATCGCCACTGATTTCTTCTCTTGCTGTCCACCACCACAATGTCTGGTTGGTTAGCCATCACCTGTTTGTTGGTCTGGATCAGGAAGTCACACAGTTCTCCACCCCCCTTGGTGGCATCTCCCACATGACTGTGGGACCTCCAGTCCATACTTGGCATAGATGTTCCTGTTCATTAGTCCATCCACTTGATTATGGCACTCCACGCTTTGCATGCCTGGATCTTACACCTTGAATTTATGTGTTGGTCTATCTAAGAGGCATCTTTGCATGGCCTGCATATTGGAACTTGTCTGGTATGGTAGGCCCTGGCCTCTATTGCTCTTGCACTGAGGGCTTGTTCTTGTGCTGCCATGATTAGTACCTTTCTGTTGTCCTTTAGTCCAACCCTCACTAGTCAATGGTAGGATTGGTGGATATT